ACCTTGCTTAGAGCAAGTAGAAGAAACTCTTTCATAATATTTCAAATCTGAAGGATTTCGTTTACCGACAAATTAGAGCATAGCCTAACAAGAAGTTCTTCGAAAAGAATTTAGTTTTTTAAAATAAAATTAAAAATCAACAGCAAAAAACATGGTGGAATGTTGCCAAATTATAATGCGCATCGATATGGAAACTTAAAGATGACACAGTGTGTGTTTGTGCCATTCGCACATCAGTGGCAATTTGTTTTGCACAAGTACGTGCTGTCAAATAAAATTAATTCCACATCGGCGTTCGGTCGTCTTCCCACCGCCGCCACAGTCAAATAATGGCAACACCAACAGCAATTGCACTGCAACAGTTCTGCACACCACACACCACTTTTATTCGCAGCATTCTTCCTACTAAGCTGCCGCACGACCCACTTTGCAACGCTCTTGGCAATGCTGCCGCTCAAGCGCACCTCGTCGCCAATTCAGCTACAACAACAAGCACTGCAACAACAATATCAGCAGTCAGTGGAGCTTGCCAGCCTATCGGTCTCTTAGTCGGCTCACTCGTTAGCTGCCGCACCGTCGCGCTCGTCTGACCAACCTACTGGGATCGCTCACATGTCAGCGCCGAGGGCTGCAAGGGGGGCACGCGCTGAGGTAAGCCGGTAAAATGTCACAGCATGATGGCAGATTCAGTTTACTGACTTTGAAAGGTGTTGGAAGTTGCACAATAAATAAATAAATTATAAAACTTAAGCTTAAAGGGCGAATGCATTGTAGACTTCACCAAACACATAAGCATACATATATACATGCGATTGTAAGTTTGTGTGCGTTTTAATGCGAACAAGTACGCGTAAACATTGCTTGTAGTTGGTACACACACGGGTTTAGAGTTACCATTTGCCATATTCTAGGAAAGTGAAAAGAACTGTGGACACTCAGACCGTTTTTGCTGTTGCCTTGCGTTCTCGTGCTTCTTAGTGATTCGTCGTTATTGTCGATGTGCTCAACAGAGTTGACTTGTTTGGCTTTGTTTTTACCTTTGCTATGTTTTTGGGCGACTTTATTGCATAACAAAAATATTTTGTAATAAAATGCATATTAGAATGAAATCATGATAATTGACACCCGTTCAGAACAATAATGGTTAAAATTAGAACAATACGATAGCCTGGCTCGCCGAGAATTGAAGAATCATCAAAAGAAGCACCGTTATTAGAAAAACACGCTCTCTCAGTTGTCATTGATTGATTTTGGCCGATATATGCAGAATAAAATCACCAGGAAGTTCGATTTTCTTCACATTGTGTAAATGGGGGCTTATTGAAACATTAACCGGTTTCAATTAATTTTTAACACACAGAAATAATATTATCAGAAAATAATTCTCTCCCAATTTTAATTTTACATATATGTATTAACTACTGTGACCAAAAAACAGTAAGAGCCCAATCGTCGAAATATATTTTTCTAGGTTGGTATGACTATCAGTGACATCTCTGCCAAATGTCACAGCAAAATAATCATTAGTCTTTAGTATACGCTTGTCTTTCTGAAGTACATATGGTGCATTCGTCGACTTTTACGATGAGTGAAATTGTTCAACAAAGAAGTTTCAAAATGTTGGAAAAGGCCTTCGGTGATTATTGTTTGTCGCAATCAAATGTTTTTGGTTGGTACAAGTTGTCCAAAGAGGGTCGAGAACTCGTTGACGACGACCCACGTCCAGGAAAGCCATCAACGCCAACTGACGATCAACACGTGAAAACAATAAAGGAATCCTCGCTTTAGAATCGACGATTAACAGTCAGTGATCTTACTGGCATCGTTGGAATGTCGGACGGACATTTTCAAAGATCATTTGGGCCTAAGAAAAGTGAAAGCACGATTGGTTCAAAATCACTAAATTTTTCCGAAAAAGTCGCGTTAACGTCTGTGAAATAAGAATTTCCGACTACCAGGATAACATGAACCGTATTATTACTGGCGATGTGTCTTGGATCTACTCTACGACCCGGAAACAGACGATTAATCGGAAGAATATTGGGGCAAAAATGAGCCGAAGCCAAAAAAACGCATTAAAGCAGGTAAAATTTCACAGTTTTCTTCGCTTTTCGAGGAGTGGTGCTCTCTGAATTCCTTCCAACCGGCCAAACTGTCAAGAAGGAATACTATTTAAGCGTTATGCGTCGTTTGCGCGAAGTTATTCGTAAAGAAGGCTGGAATTTTGAGCCGACAACTCGTGGTTTTGCCTTTCACTCTTGCTCTCTCAGACCACTCCTCAACTACTCGGTATAAGTGGGACACTATTGCAAACTCCTTACGTGCTACTGCAAATGAAACAATTGGTTTTCGCAAAAGACAAAATAATAGTTGGTACGATGAGAAGAGACACTGCCTATATCGCAACGTTACAATCGACCACAACACATGAGGGATGGGATAAATAATGAGAGTTGAAGAGGGAAGCGAGACGTATTTGAAGACAAAAAAAGATAGCCCGAAATGCGGAGTACGAAAGAGTTTGAAAAGCTAGCCGTCAAGAGTAATGCTCAAAAATTCTACGAAAAGATGCGGCGACTAGCAGAAAGTTTCAAGACCTTAGCATAGTCCCCGAGTTGATCGAGTGACTGATACCCAGAGTATACAGAAATTTCGGAGGGAACAATTCTCCAGTCAGCTGAATGCCAGTGAAAGCATAACAGGAGATGACGAACCCGATTCCCCAATCGATGACGATGAAACGGAGGTTCCATTGCTCGACCATGAAGAAGTTTGAATAGCAATTACTCGCTTGAAGAACAACAAAGCGTCAGGAGCCGAAGGAATCAGTTTCTTTGTTGAATATGGTCGGACGAAACTAGACCGACAATTAGAATTTAAATATGGCTTACGCAATCCACAAAAAGGGTGACTCCACAACCTGCGCCAACTACCGTGGGATTAGCCTCCTCAACATCGCATTTAAAGTTCCATATAACGCACTGTGTGAAATCTTAAAGCCCATCTACAACAAACTGATTAGACATTATCATTCGAGCTGCAGAGCGCAGTGGAGAAGGTGCAATCATCTACAAGAGTGTAGAACTGCTGGCGTACGTCGATGACATCAATATCATTGGCTTCAACATCCGCGCCGTTAGTTCTGCTTTCTTCAGGCTGGATAAAGAAGCGAAACAAATGTGTCTTGTAGTAAACGAAGGCAAGACGAAATATCTCCTGTCATCAAACAAACAGTTGTCGCATTCGCGACTAAACTCCCACGTCATTGTTACAGTTATAACTTCGAAAACGCGGATAATTTATCTTGAAACAAACATTAACTCCAACAACAAAGTCAGCCTCGAAATACAAGGCAGAATAATTCTTTCGAACAGGTGCTACTTCGGACTGAGTAGGCAATTGAGAAGTAAAGTTCTCTCTCGACGAACAAAGACCAAGTTTTACAAGTCACTCATCATCCGCAGTCGGAAGATATACGAGGACAGTGGAAAGATATACGACGACATTGACATAATAAAGCTAATAAATAAACAGCTGTCGTCCGAATGGATAAGAACACTCCATCCCCTAGATTATTCGGCACAATACCCGCCGGGGGACCTACCGGATGTGATTGGAATTGGTCAAGTAGTTCCGGAGGTATGTGATTTCTCCTAAATGAGGGCGGTGTTACTCCTAACGTTCTATTTGTTCCTTTCTATTAAATCTCCTTTTATCGTCCTGTATGAAAATGTAATGTCTCTGACTCTTTTATCTAGTTATTGATTTATCGATATCTACTAAAATGTTTAACATAAGCATTACTTGGGGTGAGGGCGGAGTTAAAATCCGATTACATCAAAGGATAAAAAGGCTTCAATTGATTTGTCTGGTGCAAATTTGGGTCACATACATAGTTCGAAAATTTTAGGATATACATATACGGTAAACCTATTAGTAGGCAAGGTCTAATAAGAATATGTCCATTAAATTTTCCTTAATTTGAAGGTTTTATTTAACAAAATTATAATTTTGAAGAAGTATGCACCATTTTGTTCGACAACTGGTAATTTCATAACCAAATTTCTGGGCTTTTGGTTATTTAAGATAGTGCAATTGTTGACAGTACAGATGCGAAGTAATAGTTTTGTCTCTGGGGAACAGCTCATAGTCGATACCTGTCTTGAGATTTTGTCTTTATCCTAAAAACTGGCATATTATTGGTAAGTAGTACCATTGAGAGAACCAATGGTTTGAGAGCAACGATGAAACAAGATTATGAAGATCTTACGATACGATCCACCCTACCTACTTACCGTTTTTAACACAACTTTGGAAATTTAAGTCCGGCATGATTTAACCTCACGGTCCTGTGCTCCATAAGAACTCCTGGGTTAAATATATCCAAATATATATTTATTTTGGTAAAATATATTATCCTTGAAATAGAAATTATCTAGAAAGGTATTCAAGAATACAATACATAATAATATGTACGTATATCTTTGTATAGGGAATACTCGAATCGAAATACTGAGTATAAACAAAATAATGTCGACAATTGATCTCAATACTTCATACTGAAATGTGACTTAATTAAAGGCATAGAAAAACTGGAAGAAATTAATAACAAAATAGTGTAAAATAAACTATATGAGCAAGCAAACGAACCTTTAAGTAATATTGGTGGTCCACTAAACAACAGTGGATTAAATTCAGGAATAGAATAAGAATCAGGAATAGAATAAGACCTTCCCAATCCAAAAATTACATGGGACCAGATACTCAAGGGCAAGAGGCGCAAGAGCTAGTAGATGTCCGTTCATTGAGCATAGAAATCACAGACACCTTATAGTCGAAGAATGAAACGGTATGTTTTTTTTTCAAGTAGGATAACACAAAGTACTATTTCCAAATCCAGGCCCTATATTACTACTCGGCTCTAGAGGATATGTGAAGCTTCCAAATTATTCAAAATAATTAAGGTCTAACATAACTGCCACATTGGTTTGAGTACTCACCTGTTGGTGACAGCGGCACTGTGGGCGCCACATGTGGTGGCAGAGCTACCGACGGCGGCTGACCAATGCCGTGTGCCGTTAAACCGGGTATAGGAACATGTGCTTGCATGGGGAGCGGAAGCGTTGTAACGCCACCGGCTGTCGGTGGCAATGCGCCGCCCGCCATCACTGGCATCACAGATAACGTATGTTGTTGGGGCTGTAAATTTTGTTGTTGTTGTTGATGCAAAAGATGTGACGGCGGCGATTCCATGCCCACTCTAACACTATTCAACAAATTATTATCATGCGCACTGGATGCAGCATTGGACGAACACATTTGTGGATGTCATCAGGCGAACGCGCGGAAGCCAACACACACACACACTCACACGCGCGTGCTCATACAGGCGATTACGAGCGCAAGCGGCGACGAGAATTATCCTTATTTTGCGGGGTTTCAAAAGCGGTGTTTAAGTTTTTGATTTCAAACACGCTAACAGTGTGCTCGTCGCGCTTTCAACTTCCAACGCTTACACACGCAAGCAAAATATCGATCTAGTCTTTACTTTTATCGCTTCCGCACTTGGCACTTGGCACTTTTACGCGCTTTAGCGACAAGCCCGAACAAAATTGTACCCTATTATCCGCCTTTTTGGTGGCGCCGTCGGCAGTTCTCTCTTTCTTCGCTAATTTTTCTTATTTACACTCGTTTTTACTTTGGCTCGGTAGCTATCCGAGTTGTTACGCCAAGGTGTTAACTCGCGGCGCGTCCGTAACGAATACTAATCATGCAGGGACAGCTTCCTCCGACGCCGCTGACCTCCGCTCAAGCAAGCGCCATAACTCACTCAATGCGCTGAGTGGAGTGGAAATGTATGAAAGCAATGTTTGCTTGAGTGGAACCTAATTAGCGGCACAGCAGTTGAAAGAAAGTCAGCGCATGTGTTGGTGTGTATGTTCATGGTGGTGGCAGCCACTTGTAAATGTTTAAAATGTAAATTAGGAAAATCATGTGCTTGCTACTTTTCAGTATATATGTGTGTGTTGTGTTTACCGTACTGTTGTGTTTTTGTTGTGTTTGGAGCTTAATACCACCGAACAAGGTGACTTGTTGTAATCCGTTGGGTAAATATATGCGAGCTCATACTCGTATTAACATAGTTGCTTGGACCTCTTTTACGCACACCCTACCGCGGCTTTGTGTGGCTGTTTCAGTGCCTTAAATAAGGGAAAGTAGTTACAGTAGTTAGAAAAATTTTACATTTATTCTTTATCATTTATTATCTGCCTTTGGACAAAATTTAAATTCCTGCAGCACGTTGCATTGAGTTAAATGTCACCTATGAGTTGTTTCTAAATCGATATATGGATATGGATATGGATATGTTCAAATTGAAAGGTGAATTTTTAACTTAAACTTCGCCTGTTTTTCAAATCGGTAATTTTTTTCTGTAAGTTGGTAGTACTGTTAGTGACATATATGCTAAATTTCACGTCATAATATTCATTAGTATTTGAAATACACGTCGTTTTGTGAGGCTCAAAAATGTGAATTCTTCGATTTTTACTATGTCAGAATTTATTGAATAAAAAGTGAGATAATGCACCATCTCACAATGAATTGATTATTCGTGATGATTTCGCTCCATTTTCAAGTAATATCGTAATTCACCCCTGATTTACACATGCTTGGTTTTGACTCAATTGTGAATATAAAAGCTGATGGAAGATTTTTCCAAATGCTATGATGACTGGAAAACTCGTTGGCATAAATGTATTACAGCGGGAGGGGATTACTTTGAAGGAAATGAAATGGACAAAATTCACATATACGACTTTTATATATCTAAATGTTCGGAAAAGAGATAAAAGTAGATTTTTCGATATAGCTCAGTCAGTCCTACAGGGGCCCCCGTCATTCGAAACTTTAAAATTTAATTGCTCAAATGACCCGAAATTTTGAAGGAATTAATATTTTTAAATTTCTTTTCCCGCTGCAGAAGACATACATCTTGATAAAAGAGATTTGTGTTAGGTATAAATTGACATTATATATGGACGTAATCCAAGTCATATTTAACGATACTCTTTCCGACATAATCAATGTTCCTTCAGGTGTTGATCAAGGTAGCCATCTTGGTCCAATTCTGTTCTTGTTATTTATTAATGACATATCATCTSTTGTTAAGTTTTCAAACGTTTTATTATATGCTGACGATGTAAAACTTTTTAAATCATTCACCTCAAATAGTGAAAGATGTCACTTGCAAACAGACTTAAACAACCTAGATTTTTGGTGTGTTAGAAATGACATGCCATTGAACCTTAAAAAATGTAAAACGATGTGCTTTTCACGTAGATCTGTAGACCCTACTTCATACGTAATACAAAACTTACGGTTGGAGCAAGTATRCAGTTTTGTTGACTTGGGAGTAACTATGGACCCCAAACTCAAATTTAATCTTCACACATCTTCCATGGTTTTTAAAGCTAAAGGTGCTCTAAGTTTTGTTAAACGGTGGTCTAAAGAATTCAGAGATCCGCTTACCACGAAAATTCTTTTTACTCTCTCTTTCTCTTTTTGGTGAGGCTTTTATTAGAGTATGCTTCCGTGGTATGGAACCCTTGTTATCTAGTTCATTCTGAGAAAATAGAGTCCGTTCAAAAACAATTTTTACTTTTTGCCTTAAATCATTTGCATTGGGATTCCAGTTTTAATCTTCTCCCTTACACTAACCGATTAAAACTAGTAAATCTCCCTACAATCGCTAGTCGTAGGGAAATGCTTGGTATAATATTTCTTGTAAAACTTATCAATGGGTCAGTCTGTAGCCCATCTCTCTTGTCTGATATTAATTTAACTAACAGATTCACTCTTTACCATTAAAAAAATTATTTTATCTACTCTTAACAAGTAACATTTAAAAATTATAAACTTTAATCTAATTCTTAATTTGGCTGTTGAAGTTTCTGTAGCTGAGCAGCTTAAGATCGCAACGCTTAAAACTCTCTTGCCTTTTATGACTCGGCTAATTTCGCTCGTTCGCGGATTGCGCCCCGTGCGTCGGCTGGGCGGGAGGAGGGTAATCGTTGGGTATTATTATTATAAAGCAAATAGCTTGGGAGATACATATGATGTTTGTAAGACTTTTTAACTTAGTGTAACATTAACTTAGTGTAACATATGGTAAGTTAATTTTAGAACCGGTGAGAAAAATTTCTACGAAATGGCTGGACTGGTTGCTTTGAAATCTTTACGCAACCTTCGTAGATATATTTGTCATATAATGATTAAACAATACTATTTTTCATATTAACTTCTTTAAGTCGCTCCGAAAAGTAAATTTTCCCACAAAAACGATTTATTCTGCGAAGTCACCATTTTGCTAAAAATGAAAATTTTGATTTCTCCTTCGAGGTGAGGCCAGTGAAGCTCTCAAAACAATAAACATTTTAACAATATACTTATTTTGAGTGCAAAGAATTTGAATAATGGGCTAAGGACCCCAAAATATATTTTAACTAGAACTTACTTTTTAATCTCGATTGTCCTAACCATTTAAAATGTTCCCATGTAACACTATTCTTTAAACATTATGAAGAATCGATAATTATAAATCCAATAATAAAATAATCTTATGGATAACCGTACAAAGTATATATTTGAATCTAATCTACAGACAAACCAACAGGTAAGTTCAAGAACTGATCTAAGTAAAAGCTTCTTGATTAAGTTGAAGCGAAATCTAGTAAAAAGAATTTAAGGGATGCTATCCAAACATTGTGCAAAGTAGTAAACGGCGTACCGCAATATCGTTACTGATACTCTTGAGAATACAGACTTCTGTGCATGGTGTTAATTCTCCAATGAATACCTCCGACAGTGAGCGAATTATTTTACAGTATATAACCCAATGGACGGCTTAATAAGAGCATTCCAGCTTTTAACTCGTCTTCCCTAAATAATTTGTGAATACTAACGAGTTGACAGTATTTGACTAAATTTATATCGGAGTCCGCTCCAATTAAGTAGACCTTACCACCTTGTAAACGTGGAACATATGTGCTAAAATATACTAAAAAACATCATTTTATATCGGGTATAATTTGTAGTCTAATTAGCCATTACGGCTTTGTAATCCATTTTAAAATCCAATTAGAAAAATAGTTATCATTTTATGCTACTTCATGGAGTTCATAGAGATATACACCTCAGAGCTTTAAAAACTCTAAACATTCATAAGCAAGCACTAACGCTGTCTTACTTTTGCAGCGACTATTATTGTTATAACTTAACTCTTAATAATATCAGGTAAATAATTTGGAACAATTTTAAAAATATGTAATTACGTCGGATAATCCAAACGTTTCTGAAAGCTCTTTCTTCTGAGTTGTTTTGGGCTAGATAACCAATCTCTTACGGCGTGTGACCTGATCTCTCAGTTTCTCACTTTTAAGTCCTTGAACATGCTTGGGCTGCCATAATTTAAAGAAGTTGTGGTTTAACTTGATAGTTATGAACCTATCAAGGTCTTCGTAATTATAATAATTTTTTTAAATTTTTATCAATTCGATTTTATTGCAGTCACATGACCGAATAAAATCATCCCTCTATTAATAAGTTAAATAAGGATTCAATCCATAGCAGCTGAAAATTAAAGTTAGTTACACAGTTGGGCAATAGCTTCACTCATTGTCTAACCGACATAGGAACGACTATGCATTTGCAGTAGTTGCTGTTTCTATGTAATCCGTACATCTTCGCAATTAACCAACTATTGCTTCGCTGGATTATTCATGAAAATTGCTAATGTGAACGAGCACATTTATCCAAAACCAATTATTGCGGAAAGTATTGAAGCAATGAAGAGTAACCTACAAAGCTTGCGATAGAAAAAAAAGCATTTAGATCAAGTAACGAAGGGCTAAGTTCGGGTATCACCGAATATTTTATACTCTCGCATGATAAAGTGATAATCGAGATTTCATTATCCGTCATTTACATATGTTTTTATTTTGCTGTAAAATTCATTGGATTAGATCAATTTGTGTACTTTGAGTATTTAATTGTATTTTCATTTATTTTAATTGTATTGGAAGTTATCGATCACGAAAATTTTTCCACAGGGGATACCTCAGCTCAAATACCGTATTTGTGTAAAGTTTTATTCCGCTATCATCATTGGTTCCTAATGTATATATTATACAGAGAAGGCATCAGATGGAATTCAAAATAGCGTTATATTGGAAGAAGGCGTGGTTGTGAATCGATTTCACCATATTTCGTATATATCATCAGGGTGTTAAGAAAATATTCTATACCAAATTTCATTGAAATCAGTCGAGTAGCTCCTGAGATATGGCTTTTGATCCATAAGTGGGCGACGCAACGCCTATTTTCAATTAAAAAAAAAAAGGCTGGATGCAGCTTCCTTCTGCCATTTCTTCCATAAAGTTTAGTGTTTCTGACGTTTTTCGTTAGTCGGTTAATGCACTTTTAGTGATTTTCAACATAACCTTCGTATGGGAGGTGGGCGTGGTTATTATCCGATTTCTTCCATTTTTAAACTGTATATGGAAATGTCTGAAGGAAACGACTATAAAGAGTTTGGTTGACATAATGCCTCTCCTTAATGCGATTCTTTGTGCCAAATTTCACTTTAATATCTTTATTTATGGCTTAGTTATGACACTTTACAGGTTTTCGGTTTTCGCCATTTTGTGGGCGTGGCAGTGGGAAGATTTTACCCATCTTCGAACTTAAC